AAACTGGATGTGAAGGTGTTTCTGCAATAAACACAATTATGAGTGTCATGGGAATTAATCTAACCACCTTGAGGCCAGAGCCTTGTGTGGAGGGGTAATGTAATTTTTCTTTTTTTAACAATTATTTTTCAATAAAGAATGAAAAAATGTATGTATCAATTTTCAGTCATTAAAGTGTCACATATTTAGGTACTCAACACCTGGTGGATACTCCTCAAAGGCTGTCCATCCTATTGCGCTTGCAAAAGTGATGAACATTGCACAAATGATGAAAAATGAATTTGGCGAAAAAGACTATTCCCTTTCTGCCATTGGAGGTGTTGAGTCGGGTGCTGATGCGGCTGAGTTCATACTCTTGGGAGCAAATACAGTCCAGGTTGGATAATATATAATTACATAACTGCCCCTGAGATTAGTCTAAAATACGAAATGACAATTTTGTACTTCTAAAATTGAGAGTTGTTTTTAATCATGTACACTACACCAAAAGAGGTTTAGTGTAGATATGGATACTTCCGGCAAATTTGACGAGTTAGAAACCTGTGTGGGTCCTTTTTTAGACACCTAAATCTCAGGGGAAATTTTGCAATTAACAAATTAAACATCTAACTAAGAGTTGTGATTTTCAAGGTATGCACTGGTGTTATGTTGCATGGATACGGCCTCGTGAAGAAGCTTTGCTCAGAGCTACAGGATTTCATGAAGAAGCACAATTTTTCATCCATAGAAGATTTCAGGGGGTAAATAAATTATACAAAAATTCTATGGAGCCATCGGATGGTTTTCTTATAGAGCCATCCACCACTTAATGTATTGACACATGTCCAAAATGTATTTATTGCAGGACATGTGTCAATACACTATTGGTGAATAAGTGTGGATGGCTCTATAAGCCGAGCCATCCGATGACTCCATAGCAAAACTGATAAATTATAATATATACATTCACTTAAAACTTTTTTTTTTTTTCGTCCATTTGCCATCTAGCTAGATAGCTGCTAAAA